TAATGCATAATTTATTTTTTAAAAGTTTATCCAAACAGACCCTAAACCAAGGGTAATTGTTTATGAAATAAGTAAGTGGCAAAGATAATAAAACTAAATTATAAAATTGGGAAAAATTAAAAAAAAATCCCGGTGGTTAATTCTTTTATCACTTATCTCTCTTGATTTTTTTTTTTTCATTTAAGTCCACCTTTAACACCATTAAAATTTGAATTAACATACCAATTTCATTCATGTTTTGTCAACATCAAACATAAAACTTTCAGAAAAAATTGTCTGCTTCATATAACTTCTAGAAGAATTAGATCATAAAAGCCATAAAATGTAAAAGATGAACAAGAAAAGGGAGGAAAATACTAGCAAATGGAAACAAGATTGTACACACTTACCACTCTTTTTATTGTTAATGATAATTATGTTTATTTGGAAAATCCTCTTGTAAGCCTTTCCCCCTGATCTTTATGCTTGGGTTTCACTGAGTATCAAGTCTTCCTGATCAATCTATCACTCTAAACGTTTTATAGCAATAAAGGCATTCGTGAATAAATGCACTGGTTCTAATTTGACTGTTTAGCAGATGAAAATCTTAGACACGATTAATGTGAAAATATTCTCTAATATGATAAATTAAATAATTTAAATCCTGGGATATTAACCATATAAATTATCATTTAGTGGTTGAATATAACTTTATTGAAGAATTTCTATTTGAGAGAGCATATATGGAGTAATGATTAATAAAAGCTCGTTGAAAAGTGCCTAATTCTAAGCATTTGTGAAAATCAAATAATGAAAAATAATAATAACGACAATAATAATATAAACAAAAAGGAACAAAAACATTTAAAAAAAAAAGCATTTAGATTCCAAATCTTCATGAGTTTGAAAATAAAGAAAGTACAGGAAAATGCAACATAATAATCAGTAAAAGTTCATATGCTAAGATTTTTATGATATATTAATACTTTTGGTGTAGGCAAAATTAAGGTAAAATGTGCAAGTTAATTCAAATTTTAATGGTATTAAAGGTGGGCTTAAATGAAAAAAATCATAAAGGAGGTAAGTGATAAGGAAAAAATCATGAGGGGGAAGTCATAAAACAGTAAACCACAAGAATTATTATTTATTTTTTTGAACTTTTTCTTATAAAGTTTTAATTTTAATTTTGATGCTTCTAATTATAATTCTTAAAGTTTAAACTAATAATTGAATATAAGATGAACTAGTTATAATTAATTATATAGAATGTGATTCAGAATTGAAATTTCAATTTTCATATACTCATGAAACAAGATATTGAAATTGAAAATTTCATGAATTGTAATTTCAAATCCTATTTCATAGACAAGGTATTGTTCTTGCTTAAAAGGTAAGAAAACGTTTTGTTTTTTTAAATTTCTTGTATAGATTCATATGTTCTGAATTTGGGACCAAATCTGAAGATATGCAGTCATTAACATGACTTCACCATATGTCACCTTTTATGTCACTGTAAAACGACACATTTGACGTGATTTTATTAATCTTGCTGTTGAATTCATAATAATTCCATATCAAATAAATAGTCCATATATATATATATATATATATATATATATATATATATATATATATATATTGTAGAAGATGAAAATTCATATCATATTATGTATATCACAGTTTAATTTTCAATAAAGCAATTGAAAGAAGTGAATAAGATATAATTTATTTATCAACATTATATCCATATTTATATGTTTACATGATACAGTTCGCAGATACTATATATGAAAAAGTCCATCTAAAGTTTAACTGAACTCTTAATTTTTTTGCACGATACAGATTTTTCTATCACGATTAGAGTGTGCTTAGTTGAGTTGATGAACAAAAAATGCAAAATTTTAAAATAAAGTTCTCTTTAAAGTTTCTATCTTGGTGAAAAATAAAAAAATGCGAATGTGAAAAATAAAATGTACTTTATTATGGCTCTTGGTTGAAGTATCTTCAATCCATCTTTTACTTTCTATTTTCTGGCTTTCCAGTTATTCGATAAAGCATAATTTTGTTTTAGCCCATGAATCAAATATAACATATTAACATTTTACATCTGAAAGAGAAAATTGACAGTTAAATTAGCATTTGTTGGAAAAAATTACTTAATTTAATATATTTATTTAGTTGAAATTTGATTCAATAATAATTTTTGTAAAAGTTTTAATTTGATTCAAATATAACATATTTATTCATTTTTTTGAAAATATTTTAATCAGTTTATCGTCTCACGACTAGTCCAATTTGGGACGGTTCATGATTAAGACTTTAAATTTTCTCAAAAATGATAGGGGGAGGATCGGACACATACTTTTACCCTTACGTACTTAATTTATATACACCAACTGAGCTACCAACATTTGATAAAATGTTATATATAACCCAAAAGAGTTTCAAAAGCAAATGTAATTATGAAATTTTCTTATACATTAAGCAAATTTGCAACACGTAGGGTTAGATTAGTTAGTAGAATAGTAGTTACCTAATAAGACTATTCATAGGCAAAATAGAGATAATAACTCAGTCTTTTGATTAAAGACTTTTTTTCTCCCATAAAATCGTGATAGAATAATTATAATTATTTATTTAAATCATTTCTATCCTTGATATGCATCTAACTTTCTTGGATCTTTCGATAAAATAACAATGGGCGATGGGCCACAAGTTTTGATCTAGAAAGATCAATGATGAACATTCCATCATACTTTCATGTAAAATTTAGAAAATTGGTATGAACATTTGACTCTTAATTTTTATTTTTATTTTAAAAAAAAAGGTCATGAATGAGAGTGGGAAAAAAAGATAATGGCATGGTCTTGGTCTTGGTCATGAAGGGTTGCCATAATGGAGGGAAGAAAAGAGGGAGGGAGAAGACATCAGAAGATTTAGGTATATTGGCCCACTAATTCGTGCCTTTTCACTTTCTCGGTTTCTCGCATGTGCCACGATTTTCACCCTTTAAACATCAATGGGTCCATACCATCTATCTTATAGAAGAAAGAGTTACAACATTTTGTACAAATGTCGAAAGTCATATCATATATTTGATATAACATATGCACATATACCCAACGAATAGTTTTTCACTTCTAGAGAGTCAATCTAATTCTGATAATTTTTCATACCAATTGACGCTTTAATCATAAACAAATTTGAAAAATGGTAGATATTTGATTTTAGTCTGACAAGCTAAAAAATTCAACGGCATAATTAAAAAAAAATACTCCTCACTAAATCTCAACTAACGAGAGTGAGATATGTTAGAAATTTTTATAATAATTGTGAGCTTAAATTAATTGTAGCTTTTCTTGTTTTAATAAAAAATGGGCTAAGTCATGATTCATATAAGGGTACAGTAAAGTCTAGTTAATTGATGATTCTGTTGATTTGGGCTTGGATATCTGTAAACTAATTAGTTTGGCTAGGTCCCTTCTGCATTCACAGTGTGTTGGAAAATCGTCACTCCACAACTCGCTCCATCGACGGTTGTAATCAGGGAGTGGTGTGAATTGCATAGGAAGATCCTGGTCTTTCCATTGCAGGAGCATCAGAATAAACAAGAAGCCTTCAAGAAATCAAAAATCATGTCTTCAACAAGTAAGCCTGAATCTTTTGGTGTTCTAATTTCATATAATCATATTTTATAAAAAATCTTACAAGGTATAAAAAACTATTTCCAAAAAAAATTTGAACGTGTTATCTTTCGTTTGACTTTAATGTTTCTACAGTGAATGTAGATAAGTTATCTACATTCACTCCCAAAACGACGTCTTGGGTTGAAAAATTAAAAAATTAAAATAAAAGGACTATTATAACCCTAAAATAAATTATAATTATAAAAATACTATGATTTCGGCACCAAAACGACGTCATTTTGAATTTAATGTAAATAACTTATCTACATTGATTACAGAAAATATGAACCCCTTTCGTTTACGGAATAAATAAAAGTTATGTTGTAGGAAAAATAATTTGGTTATGTTAAGATAAGACAAAATAAAATCATTGAACAAAGTGTCTTATCATATTTTTTATTATTATTATTTTTTGTTCTTTAGTGTTGCATGACTTTATATAACATGATAAGTTAAAGACCCTTCGTTTATATAAATAAATGTATAAAAAAATTCATGTACTATGATAAGTAATGATTATTATTTATTTTTTTAACAAGAATCAGAGATGATAAATTTGCATCAAGTTGATTATAATGAGGCATTTGGTAGAAGATAAATTTTTTTATATTTGATAATTATAATTTGCAAAAATATGTTAAAAAAATTAATTTATCAAAAATATTACCAAGAAACTATTTGGTAGATCAAAATATTATCAAACAGCTATATAAAATTTTTCCATGTCATAAGAAGCCAAGAATACCACCCTCCTAGTGGTACTTTTGGATCACATTTTGGTTCAAAAGTTTCAAAAAAACTGTTTTTAAGAATTTGATTTTCTCAATTTTTTTTTTAACAATTCTTATATTAAACGTCCTTTTTCTTGTACCATAAATTGAGTGTTTTTTTTTATTTTTCTGGTTGGTGAGAAAACAGGAGCACAATTTGATGGATGTGGATGACATGAAAGATGGTTAACATGCATGAAGCACATGGTCATAATACATAATGGGCATGGGAAGCAAATCTTAAAAGGGAATCAAAAGAAATTGGCCTCTCTTTGCCACTACTCTTCCCCACCTGCCCAAGATATGGTAAGCTCCACATGATTTCACACCCAAGAAAAAAAAAAAAAAAAAAAAAAAGCACCATTGCTGACCTCACCTGTATCTCATGAGAGGATTTTTATGGGTCCCACTTGTACCCTTCTCTCTCTCTTTTCTCTCTCACAATCCTTTCCTATTTTTCTTTCATCCAACTTTCTAATTCCACAACATTTTCTCACTCCCTCTTTGCATATGCATATATAAATATAGCCCACCTCCTTCCTCACCTCTCAACAACCCAAAAAAATATTCACTAGTATTTTTTTCTCTCTTTATATTTTATTCATTCATTATTTGTTTCTAGTCTTTATCTTAATAACTTTGCATTGCTTGCCCTGTAATTCAAAATCAACTTAGAAAATTTGCTAAAGATTTGGGATGAAATCTGGTCGGATCTTGCTTTGTTGGATTGGGATTTTGGTGGGTCTTATTTCATTACAAAGCTCTTCTTCCCATCTCATCTCCCTCTCATAAAGATTACTCAAAAACAAAAAACAAAAATAAAAAACCATCCTTTCAAATCAGGTCAGGGAAGAAACAAAGCAAAGAGAGGAAAAACAAAAGAAAAGGAAAAAGAAGGAACAGTTCATTGCTTCTTCACTTCACCTTCAATCCATTTTTAGCTTCCTAAGGTTTCACTGAGTTGGAGCAAATGGGGATGGCTGCAGAGTCACAGTTTCATGTGTTGGCTGTTGATGACAGTATCATAGATAGGAAACTCATTGAGAGGCTCCTCAAAACCTCTTCCTATCAAGGTACTCATTCTCTTGGAAACAAACCAAAATCTGAGGAAAAAAAAAATTGGATCTTTACCTTTTTTATATTGATCTTAACATGTTATCTGATCAGAATGAACTTTATTTTCTTAATGGCAGTTACTACAGTTGATTCTGGTAGTAAGGCTTTAGAGTTTCTGGGCTTGCGTGAGAATGATGAGAGCAACCCAAGTACACCAGCTGTTTCTCCTAACAATCATCGGGTATATGCTTTTGTATTTTTTTTTTTCTTCTCAAAATGTATTTTAATTATCTTGTTGCAGTTTTTATTTTTTATTTTTTTAACCATAGGTCAGTTTCTTTTTCTGGGGTTCTGAAATTCTTTGGATTTCCTTTGTCTTAATAGGAGGTGGAGGTGAATCTTGTTATAACAGACTACTGTATGCCTGGCATGACAGGATATGATTTGCTCAAGAAAATCAAGGTATGCTTTGGTTTTCTATTCCTGTCTCATGTCTCTTTTGGGCCATTGTATTCTCCACTTTTCTCAAGTCTTTATGGCCAAGATTGTTTCTGCTTTTTTTTTTTTTCCAAACAAAGTAAAAGACTTTCCATTTTGAAACTATGCATTCATTCCAACTTGCTATTGTTTAAATTTGTCAACTTGGACTAGTTATATATTGCTTACCAGAAAATATCAAGCATAATCTCCTGGAATATTTTTTTTCCTATCTGCTTTTCAGTTTTCCACCCAAAACAAATCAGGTTCAACATCTAATGAAAAGATTTTCTTTCCAAGAAGGCCCTTTTTTAGCAGCTTGATTTGATTTGAGAAAAAAAAAAAATTGTTTTGAGAATCTTTGACAATTCCGTTCTCTCTTATTCCACCTGGAACCAGAAAACTTAAAAATTAATAGGATTTTCTGTGTTATTTCAGGAATCTTCATCTTTGAGAAACATACCAGTGGTGATTATGTCATCTGAGAATGTGCCTTCAAGGATTAGTAGGTAATGGGGTGAAAGATTTCAGTATTTTTTTATTTTAATTTTTCCCCTTTGAACATTTTTTGAGGTTAAATTCTGATGAATCTGTCAAACGGTAACAGATGTTTGGAGGAAGGAGCAGAGGAGTTTTTCTTGAAGCCTGTGAGGCTGGCAGATTTGAATAGGCTTAAACCCCATATGAAGAAAACCAAGTTGAAAGATCAAAAGCAAGAAACAGCAGAAAAGCTTGAAAACTCAGAAGTTGAACAGCAGCAACAACAAATCCAAAATGACCAACAAGAAGCAACAAAATCCAAATATCTGGAGCCAGAGTTAGAGTCACATTCACAGCCAACTATAGAACAACAGCAACAGTCACTACAACAAGCCAACAACAGCAAGAGGAAGACCATGGAACAAGGGCTTTCACCTGAGACTGACAGAACAAGACCAAGATACAGTGGCATAGCCACTGTGGTATGATGATAAATCATTGGCAAATAATTTTCTTCTATTTCAAAATGTAATTTTCATATAACTCTTTTTCTTAAAAAAAAAAAATTAACTTCAGTGTTGGTTAATATAGGCTCTATAGAAAGTGTAGTAGAGAGTTGTTTCCTGTAATCATTACCTGGAAATATTTCCTTCCAATTTTGTTTGCCCTTATATGTGGAAAAGAAAAAAAGAACATATTCGGTAAGAAACCAGATTTATAAAGTTTGGTCTGAAATCTGAATTAGTTCTTGATTATTTCCCTTCTTGACTAACACTCTTCAATTATTTTGGTTGAAAAACCGGCCAACATAACCCAGAAAACACGTTTAATTCTTACAGTTCACAATCTGTATCTAAAGCTAAAAGCCATTGCATGAACAGTAAAATTTTGTTTGTACTATTTCATTAATCAAAGGAAAAACATTTAGGAATGTGTATGTGAATGGTATCAATGAAGAGGGGATAATTAATTTAAAGGACCCGGAAATTCTTGGAAAAAAATTTAAATATTGCAATTTAAATAAAAAATTATGGAACTGTAACAATTTAAAATATATTTACGAATGTGCACTGTTTAGTTGCACCCAGAAGTGGGTGCAGTTGGTTACGCCCAAATTTAGGCGCGATAGGGAGGCATTTGTGACTCACAGGAGGATATTACGTGTGGCACCAAAATTTTAAAGGTCATAATTTTTGACTCGAGTGTCCAAATCAGATTTTTTTTATCCCGCGTAACTATTTAAGATCTATGCGTTGGCAAAATCCATCGAAAGAGATTTGGTCAAAAAATTTCCAAAAAACTGCATCCTTGTGCCCGTTTGTCATATTTTACCTTTGTGAATAATATTAGTTAATTCCTATTCTTATTTCACTATCAAACAATAACAAATAATCGTGACTTATTATTTTAATGGACAAAAGAGATTATGTAAAACTTATTCAACTTTTTAGAAAGTAGGTATATATATTCCAAAATTTTGTACACGGTTAGAATCTATGCATTATATATATGATTTGTGGATTATGGATAGTTTGTGTAATTTCTTTAATAAGTTGTGTGATTTCGCAATTATGTGAATTTTTCAGTACATAGATCTCGAAAAGTTATGTGAAAATATAAAAAAATCACTCGATCCAAACCAAAAGTTTTAGCCTTCTAAATTTTTGTGCCACGTGACATCCTCATGTGAGTTGGTTGTCTATCGCGCCTAATTCTGGATGCAACTGGTTGCTACACATTTATAAATAAGTTTCAAATTATTACAATTTCATAATTCTTAATTTAAATTGCAATATTTAAATTTTTTTGGGGAAATTCTTGAGCTTTAATTTTACTCAATTTTTTTGTTATTGGACGATCTCGCCCCAGCTGCTCACCAATCGAAAGCTTCGTCTTTAGATAAAAAGTTTTATTCGCATCACTAAATGAAATCAACAATAATAGGCATCCTCTCATTTAATGAAATGAGCAATACTTAATCTATTTCCAAAATAGTAATCAAAATCAACCTCAACATCAATATCACCTTTATTCCAAATTAATTGGGATCGGTGGTAGATGAACTCACATGAAAGATACAAAACGGTTGAAAATAAAATAAAAAAATAAAAATACAATAAATTAAATTAAATTAAAATAAATATGTATATATATATATATATATGTATATATAAATAAATAAAAGTAAAAAAGAAAGGGACAAGGAGAAGTGGGGGAGATGAAGGGGAAAATGACTAAAAAAAAGGACCATCTAGAACATAGGAATAACAACGGGTCTAACCCTCCACCATACTTATAGCTTTTCTCCATTCCGTTCTAAGACATACCGTCCGCCAATCTATATCTCACTCCATTAAATCAAACACAAAAATCTAACATCATCCTCTCCTGTGAAATTTTAACATGAGTTGATCCATTCTTGTTTTTTTGAAAATATTTCGATCGGTTCATTACTTCACAATTAATCCGATTAGGGGCGGGTCCAGAAGATGATCTATTCTTGTTAATCTCGCATGCCCATGACTCCTACGATCGGTTGAAGTAATGCGTAGACATTGTCAAACATATTCAATGAAACTTCGGAACAGTCACTGAAAATTACACATTCATTTATATATTGGCCAAAACTATGGCTATTAACAAACACAAGAGCCTTCCTACTTTAATTGGTTGGCTATGGGACAGGTGATTCTCCGAACGGTCTTTAAGAGAACACAAAAACTCAACCCAATGCGTGTGGAGATACTTTAAGCTAGTTTTGGATCATTCTTAACATTTTATTATTCCATTCATGCATCCTTCAATGCCTTGTGTTTATTTTTAAGTTAGTTAATGTGTCAATCAAGTGTCCCTTAGTATTTTCTAAAGTAATAAGCATGTATTGGTTTATTCCTACTCTTTTATATGTAGTAGAATTCTTCATTCAAATTAGTATTTTGTGTCTTTTTATGCTACCAAAAAGTTAAAATGCATCTGATGCGTAGTTTAACCATAATTTCCCCCAAGATGTGAATTATAAGAAATTTTAAATATTATAATTATTTTCATAAAAAGAAGAAGTGGATTGAGATATTAATCTCCAGTCATAGCCGATTTATTAAGGCATATTTACATGGTGTTCTGACCAGCCCAGTTGACTAGCCCAATACCAAAAGGTCCATGCCACATCTTCTTCACCTACCCAGCAATGTCAGAGCAGCCTCAACAGTGTTGTTATCCCTGTCTCCATGCAACAGGTTTTCCAACGTAAGACACCAGAATATCTTATGTTGGGGGACTTCCCTTTCATTTTTGTCTCCTCAGACACCCAAAATAACCTACTGAGAACTCTCCCCTCACAATCTCCCTTGCTCAGCGACTGCTGCCAGTATTGCAACAACTGCAAAGTGCCTTGCCCCTGTAAGGATAGGCTACTTTGGCTCTTCCTCATAACAGTTGACTTGACTCACTCTCTCACTAGATTGGATCTTATAAATACCCCCCCCCCTCACCACCATAAGACACACAGTATCACTATTTGTATGAGTCGTTACCATGTTAACTTGGAGAGTCATTATAGTCATTCTACACCCTTCATTGTTATACACAGTATCTGAGACCTATTTGCATAGCTTTGGTTCATGTCATTGCTGTTAAAGACATCCCTACATTAACCACTACACCTCTTGGGGTTACATACTTGGCTCTCTAGCCTCACTAACGGTTGACATAGTTTTCCTTTGCTTCTTGAAGCGTCCACATATAACTAATTTAGAATTTAGTAATCAATCGTAGATGGAGAGGTATTCTTTTTGACTTGACTAGAAACTCTGTCTTATTAATTTTATAATGCTCCTACTTCTCTATCATTTCTTACCTTTACTTAACTCTTATATTAATAGCTTCAATGAAAATTACCAAATAAGTGTTTTGTGAAAAAATTGCGATATTTTTATACAAACTGAATTAATCTTATTTTTGAATTTAAAGTTACTTGGTAACAATATTATTAATTTATTATTCTCTTCATTTGAATCTAATTTGCGAGGACGAAGATTTGTGCGGAGGGGTGGGCATTGTTGCCCAATCGTGTGGGCCATAACCAGTAACTCAACCCGTGACATTGGCTGGACCAGCATCGCAAGTTAGAAGGCCCAAACGTATAAGGGTATTGCCCAAACAGTACCAAGACTATTGCCCAAACATCCTCCAGGCCAGTTGTATTTTTTTTTTATCTTTTCTCCGTACATAGCCATATGTTTTTTATATTTAAAAAAAAAAAATGAAGACATCCAGTTTTTGTCTTAAGTTTTCTAGATATGTCAGAGGCCTTGGCTGATTTCTACTTGTTTATGAGGTGGCATCATTCAATGTATGATGATTATAATGAATATAAAAGAGGGAGAGTTAAATACAGGGCACTATTTTTTCTTTTATCTTGGATTTTTTTTTTTTGAAAAGTTTTTAATAAGGCAGTTTAAGTAATATATAATAAAAGGTGAACATGCAAAAGGGGTTCAATGAAATTATCAAGTAGATATTTACCTTCTAACCTTATATTATCTCCCATCTTTTCTTCCTTCTCTTTATATGATATTATTATTAAGGGAAGTGAAATACATGAAGCACTATTTTTTCTTTCACCAAAGTTTTGTCTTACTCGATTTTCATGGTAAAGTTTTTAATGAGATTGCTTGCAATACATATTATTTGAAAATGTACACTCTTTCCCCTTCATTAAGATATTTTCCACAAAGTTTTTTCTTAGTAAAATTTTAACAAGGTACATTATCTTAATGAATATTCAATTGTAGTATTATTAAAGAGAAAAATATTTCTGCAGTTACTGCATATAAGTTATCTGTATTTATTCCCAAAACGATGCTGTTTTGGTATTGAAATCTGAAAAAATTATAAATATAAAGACTATTATAACCCTGAAATAAATTAAAATTACAAAAACACCATGATTTTCGCTCCAAAATAACGTCATATTAGACTTACTGCAGATAAGTTATCTGCAATAACTGTAAAAAAAACGAACCCATTATTAAATATAACATTGGATATGACGCAAAGGATGTTATCTACTCTGAGTTATTATCCCTCTAGGTTTTTGTTAACAAGGTTTTAACAAAGCATATTTGATAATGTATTGTCATTCAAGGGTGAGTATTATAAAATATTTATGTGGATGACCATTGATTTGTCATGTATCGTATAACTGTCATATTGATGATGTATTGAAGTGTTGTTATTACCTTATTTATGTATAGAGTTGACATGGATGGTATGAAAAATTGGATGATGAGTGAATTAGAATTTGGTAATATTATTATACTTTTTCGAAGTGGAAAAAAAATAAAATATTACATTTTTAATAATTAATTACGAATTGGTAACAGTTTAGAAATTATTTTTGAATTTATTACAGTCATTCACGTTCAAATTAGGCGTGACTCCCAAGGCATTTACGCCTAATTTAGGCGTGAATCATTTGGTGTTGACACGTGGCACAAAAAATTAATAGTTTAACTGTAAAACTTTATAAGACCATAACTTTTGACTCAGGTATCTGAATGAGGTAATTCTTTTTTTTGATTCCACGTAACTTTTCGAGATCTACGCAATGACATCTCATTTGATATATTTTATCTCTCACAAACACAATTCAAATTTACAACAATGATACTATAAAGATGGCACCAAAATGG